GATCTGTTCCTTTGCCTGAGAATATACTTTATCTGTTAACAGGATCCCAAAGAAAAGAGAGAAACTGCGAAAGAGGAAGAACCGTCCAAAAGTTCTGGTGACAGCACAGCTACCAAAACGGAGGAAGAGAAGAAGATCAAAGCACCTAAGAAGCAGAAACTTGTCCATGAGATCACCATGGAACTGGATGTAAACGATGTGCCTGACCTGCTGGAGGACGAACTGAAGAGCTCGATGAAAAAGTATGTTTGAAACGGCTCTGCTAGGTTAGAGCTCCAGATAAAGGAAGCGAATTGCTTTGGAAGGGTGATAGCTCACGCACTGCTGCTGTCCTCAGAAGCTGATGTGTGTGATGTGGTGCTCATCTAAAGGCACTTCCTACCTTTGATTTCTGTTCTCTTTGCATGTTAGACTCCAGGACTTGACGGTCAGAGATCTAGAGAAACAGGAAAGAGAAAAATCGGCGAACAGTTTGGAGTCGTTCATCTTTGAGACCCAGGTAAGAGCGGGGTATAAAGAAATGAGAATTCCTGGGGAGCCAGCAGAAGTGTTTTATGGCAGTTTGGCTGATGTGAATGCGAGGGAGTTGTCTGAGCTGGGGGATGCCGATCTGAAGAGCCCAGCTTTCATCTTTCAGTCACTTTTTCTGCTACCGTTAGGCTTCCCAAGCCCATGAGGACTTGGGAGGTTTCCGCAATACAAAATGAATGCTTTCCTTCAGCATGTCTAACACATTGAACTTTGGGCTTCTGGTGTCCCTTATGTGCACTTACCTGTGTGGTCTGGAATGATCGCTACAGCTTCTGGAGAACTGTTGTGCAGGAGAGGCAACTAATGTTAAGTGTGTGTGAAATTATAGTTGTTGCAGCTTTACCATCTGATACCTGGTGTGTGCGTGTGTCTATATACCTGGTGTATTACCGTCGTGCTCCTGGCAACGCTAGAAACAGGAGCTCAGGTTTGGGAGGGCTGAACGAGAATCTCCTGGCCAGTGCAGGCAGCACCCCAGGAGTTCACAGCCCAGCCCAGCTGCAAGTGGGCGACCTGGTTGCGTTTATGCTTCCGCACTCAGTGGTATTTGACGGGAGTGCTTGCTTGGTTCTTTTCAGGACAAGCTTTACCAAGAGGAATATCAGTTCGTCTCCACAGAGGAGCAGAGAGAAGAAATTTCTAGAAAGCTGAGCGAGGCTTCCAGTTGGATGGAGGAGGAGGGCTATGCAGCCGCAACTAAGGTATCGCTGCGTGTAGTCAGGATACCGGTCTGCTGTCGCTGACATGGAAACGACCGCACAGGCTGACAGAGTATTGGTCCATCTCAGTCCTTTGTGATCTGGTTCTTGAGAGTTTCTTGCTTCCTCAGCGCATTATGCACAGAGCAAAATACGAAGTTCTGCCAGCCATGGGTGCGTCTTCAACAGCTTCAGCAGTAACCGGTTGATTCCACGTAAAGCTTAGTCACGTGGCTCTTTTTACTGTATTGGAATAGTATCTTTGATAGAGAGAATGACAAAAACTGCAGTTTTAACTTCTGAGGTTTACCGTATTAGATAGCGGGCAAACTGATCGTCTCCTTTCTCCTCTCCCCCATTTGTAGGAGCTGAAAGACAAGCTTTCAGAGCTGAAAAAGCTTTGTAGGAACCTCTTCTTCCGTGTCGAGGAAAGGAGAAAGTGGCCGGAACGCCTAGCTGCCCTGGAGAGTCTGCTG